CCCAAAGCCTCCCAGAGTTTACTAAGTCCTGTCTTCCAAGTGCAGGTAAAAGCACACAGCAACAGCTCAGCTCTAGCAAGTCCCAAGGCTGCCACATCCACATTAATCAGGCCTCTCTGGATCAAAGTCCTTGGAGCACAATGGCTCAGTTTCAGGAAATAGTTAATAACCTTCTTCCTTCAACTCAATTGTTGTAACCTCTTTGAGAGGCTGGCTTTCTGTGGGGCCAGGGAGGACTGTACAAGTTTCCTTACAAGAAGAAGCCAAGATAGATTCTGAATGAATCCCACGGGAAGGGGACTGAAGGTTGTCATAAAAAATAGATGTGACACAATAAATGCATGAGATTCCCTGGGGTCTTAATCTCTTCCTTCAGAAAATCTGAACAATTCTGCCTTCTGTGCTGCTGTGAGGTGGGTGGGTAGGGTTGTACATACACACTTTGAATACTCACTTCTATCTTAACAATAGGATTCTTCCAAAACAAGAGGCCCTAGCCTGTGACTGTCAGCCTTGCCATCAACACTCCTCTTTGGTGGAGAGCTCCCTGTTGGCCCTGAGGCAGGAATCTTCTGAGATCTTGACATACGCTGGCCTTGATCCAGGCCTCGGTACAGGCTGGTGTCCCAAGACAAGCCGGGAGAGTGGTCCGTGCCTTCAATGCCTCCTGCTGCTAAAATGAATATAGTCTGGCTTTAGGATCTTACTGTTTCCTTTACCTGGGGTGGCCCTTTACTGCTTGGTAAACTCTAGTCATTCCTCAAAAACTAAGTTAGGACCTCTGCTCCCAGCTACAATGGAGCAGCTTGTGGAAGGCCTATCTTCTCTCCTGAGGGGGAAAGGAATTAAGTTGGAATACAAAAAAATCTGTCTGAAGGCAACTAAGGACCAACACAACTAGAACTTGAAGTCCAAGATTATGAAGGCGAAGGGAACTGTGGAGAGGTGAGTGTTCTTAGAGCCACTTTTCCCCTCAAAAGTTTCTGCCAATTCTTGGTTCAGGAAGACAGGCTGAATGTCAGGCAAGTAGCTTCAGCTGAAAGGCAAGAAAAGCTGTGGAGGCTCTAGGCAGTCTCATAGGACAATAGGGAGGCAACACTCCTGTGGAGGCTGCCCAGGCAGCTGGGACTTAGGGAGCCAGGGTTCCAGAGAGAAGGGCGCTACACAGCAGTGAAACAATTATCAGTGGTTTTCTTCTTTTAAAACATTTGTCAAATTCTTTAGCTAATCAGGCAAGAAGCTAAGAAGCTAACTAAAAAAAAAAGGTCACAGTGGAATTTTCAAAAGTCTCACAGAGCCGAGAAAACAAACAGTGGTTTAAGCTCATCAAGAAAGAGGGATCCTGGGAAGCCACATCCCTAGGCATCTCTGGGGAAAGTCATATCACAGATGACCTGTGTCATCTTTCCAAACAATTTCTGGTACTCAATCAAGAATTACCAAATATATAAATAAACAGGACCACAAGAAAAAAAAAGGGAACAGAAATAGACCCTCAGATGATTTTAAAATTACTGTAACTAATATGTTCAAGAAAATAGAGAGAAAAAGGTAGAATTTCACTAGAGACTGGGAATCTTAAAAAAAAAAAGAAAAGAAAAGCAAATGGAACTTTTATAATTAAAAAATTCAATAACAGAAATTCTGAATGCAATAGATTTAAGGCACACTTGACACAATAAATAGGATCAATGAACTAAAAGACCAATAGGGAGAACTCCAACTACAGCATGGGAATTTTTTAAAAATGAGGAAAACGAGAAAAAAGAACAAGAGACATATGAGTCAGTAATACATGTAACAAACTTCAGAAAAAAAGAAAGATAAAATAGGGGAGAGTGTTATCTGAAGGGATAATGGTCAGAGATTTTCCAAAACTGAGAAAAGGATGTCAAACTTCAAGACCCCCCAAAAATAAAATAAAGAATATCTATAACTAGGCATGGCTTAGCAAAACCAAGACAGATAAAATCTTAAAAACAGAAAAAAAAAAAGTAAAGGACTGACAGCAATATCATCTGCTGATTTCTCAAGGAAAAAAATCAAAGGAGAATGTAAGGGTATCTTCAAAGAGCTTAATGAATGACTGTTATATTTTTCAAAATGAAGGTGGAAAAAGGTGTTTACATACAATTACAAATAGAGCTTTTATCAGAAAAAGTACACTAAAAAAAAAAAAAAAAAAAAAATGAAGGCCAGCTACATGCAGTGGCTCCTCCTATAATCCCAATACTTTGGGAGGCAGAGCAGGAGGATAGCATAAGCCAGGAGTTCAAGTCCAGCCTGGACAACATAGTAAAACCTTTTCTCTACTAAAAATTTAAAAAGGTAGCAGAGTGTGGTGGTGCATCTGTGGTCCTAGCTACTGAAGAGGCTGAGGCAGGAGAATCTCTTGAGTCCAGGAGGTGGAGGCTGCAGTGAACTATGATCATGGCACTGCATTGCAGCCGAGGTGACAGAGGAAGACCTTGTCTCAAAAAAAAAAAAGAGAGAGAGAGAGAAAAGAAAAGAAAAAGTAGAAAAAAAAACCACCTGTAGTCAGAAAGGAAGTGTCAGGAAAAAAACAACAAATCTACAAATCATTAAAAATATAGAAAATTTGAACATGACTAACCAACTTAGCCTAATTGACAATACAGAACACTACATCAACTGACAGAATACACATTCTTTTTAAATGCACATGGACAGTTTAACCAAAGCACATCATATATTAGATCATAAATCAAGTTTCAAAAATTGTCAAAGAATTTAGAGTACGTTTTCTAATCACAGAGGAATTAAACAGAAACCAATTATAAAAAAGGTAACTAGAAAATTCCTAAATGTTTGGAATTAAACAATATACTCTGAAGTAACCTATGAGTAAAGAAGAAATCAGAAAACTAGAAAAATTTTAACTGATTTATACTAAAAACACAATTTATCAAAACTTGTAGGATGTAGCTAAAGCTGTGTTTATAGAGAAATGTATAGCCTTAAATGCATATATTAGAAGAGAAATAAAGCTTTGGAAAAGGTAATTTCACTGCCCCTAGGATCAAGTTAAAATTCCTACTATGGTTACAAAGTTCTGCATGATTTGCTCATGCTCACTTCTTGGAGCTTCCCCTTTTTCTCTCTTGTCATTCACCGTTCTCCAGCTATACTGGCCTTTTTCCAATTCCATCAGTAAGTTGAACTGCTTCTTGTCTCAGGGCCTTTGCACATACTAATCTTTCTGTTTAAAATGCTTTTCCCACCAAGTGACATTCTTTCTAATTCAAACTCTTTCTTTTCACTCATTGCTGTAATTAATTAACTGGGTAATTGCTTGTTGTGCAATTAATTTTAAAACATTGTTTATCATTCCCCAAATGTTATAAACTCCTTGCTGGCAGGCACTGCAGCTGTCTTGTTCATCACTGTGTCTCCAGGGCCTAGCATGGTTTCTGGCAAACAGCAGGCACTCTATACATGTGTATTAAATGAACGAATGAATACACGGACATCTAGTTTACCATCTAAGCCAAAAGTTGTTAAAAGATACTTATGGCCTTGGAAGAAAACTCCTCAATATTATTGTTATGGGTAGTTGGCATTTATTTCTATGACATTTATGATATAATTTATAATATTTACTAATCCAAGAAATATCTCAAAGATTTTTTTCTCTCAATGCTTAAGTTAAATAATTTCTAACTGTACACTGCTTCCTGTTTACTGTATTTGGGAATAGTGTTTATATATCAAATCTTTTCTACTCTGTACCCAGCTAGGTGCTGTAAAAAAGTGATTCAAATGGCTGCCGTTATTAACAGTATTTTATCCCATTCAGGCCGCTATAATAGAGTACCATAGACTGGGCAGCTGATAAACAAGAGATGTTTATTCCTCACAGTTCTGGAGGCTGAGAAGTCTAAGATCAAGGGAGGGAAGGAAAAGAAAGAAAGAAAAAAGAAAAGAGAAAACTCCAGCCTGGGCCACACAGTGAGACCCTGTCTCAAAAAAAGACCCCAAAACCACCCTACATTGTTCCCTGTCCTAATCTGTGCCTTTGGGTCTATGCTAACTGTACATCTGTCCCCCGATGTCCTTCCAGCTTGCCACAGTTCTCTGCACAGCTGTTTTTGATAAGTATCATCCAAACCTGTCTTTGACACTTCTTTCTCATGAGGTCAGACTCATTACTCACAATTCTGTGCCCTGAGGGCTGCAAGGTGAATTGCCCCAGTTCACTCTTGGGAGGGAGAGGCCTTCCCAGGGAGTGAATGGAGTTGGTGGTAGCCCCTTGGCTAATTTATGAAGGTATTTTAGGTCCGCAGAGACCAGCTTCACACAGAGAACCCTTAAGACCCGATTCCCTCCTGCTGGGTGGGAACTGTACTATTGACCGAGCAGAGCCACACTGGTACTGGACACACTGTGAGCACCTCCCTGCTCCTGTGACGTTCTAGCTGAGTCCTCAATGCTCAGCACAGGAGCACCATAGACAGGGGATGGAACACTGGCACTTAGGACCGTGTGACCTGAGCACCTCTGGGCCTCAGTTCCTCTGGGCATGAAGGGTGAGCCACTCCGAGCATGAGCGTGCACAGGGTGCACGGCACGTACCAAGCACAGGAAGCACTGAGAGGGGACACCTTACCCTGAAAACTTGTCTACAGCCAGAAGGGAGAGGAGCCAGTAGCACCCTTGCCCCAACTCCCTCTGGGGCCTGACGGCCAGCTCCTCAGCTAGCCAAACAAGGAAAGGAGCGCCTGCCCTGAAAATAACTCTGTAAGTCTATCCCAGCCCCACTCCAATTTGCCAAGGAGCTAGAGACAAACTGAGTGCTAATTTGGCCAATTACAGATGACCAATGACTACCTCGGATCCAGGTGAGAGAGCTGAGGAACAGATGGTTGTGTGTGTTATTAGGGAAATTTGAGATTAGGCAGGTGGTGGCAGGTTTCAAGCCACACGTGGGAGTTTTTGCAAATTCGGGCCAAGTTTACAAAGAATAATAAACAAATTCTTACTTTATTGTGCTCTCCATCTTCGAAGCTGCCTCATGGAATTGCTGTGAAGACAGTTTATACATCTCAGCATTCTGCAAGGAGAAAAACAGCACTGGTTACCAAAGACTAAAATTTCCCTCTGCTCCCTCATGGGATGCAACCACATTAGAAATCGACAGATGCTAATTTCTTGACCGGCATCAAAGCCGACTGGTGATTAATCCACAGCTTGGGTTCCAGCTCCAGCATGCACGGCCACAGCCACAGAATCCTAGAATAACAATGGCTGCAAGTGCGTTATGAGATCCTCTAGGTCAGGGGTTGGCAAACCACAATTCACAAGTAAAATCCTGCCTGCCACCTGTTTCTGTGCTACAATGGCAGAGTTGAGGAACTGTGACAGAGATTACATGGCCTACAAAGCTTAAAATACTGTCTTTAAGGAAAAATACTGCTGAGTACTCATCTGGTCCAACCCTTATTTTATAGGTAGATTCTCCTTCCCAGAGAGGTGAAATGACTTGTCCTAGGTCACACAGCAATGGGGCAGTGTCAGGACTATAACCCAGGTATCTGGACTCCCAGTCTGGGACACACTCTGCTGCCTATCCCAACCACCCTGCTCATCAGAACAGCAACCATCTGTCCAGAGTGTTATGGGGAGCATCCGCAGGTACACACTGAATTTGTCCTGAGATTACCAGGTACATGTGTGCCTACAGACCCGGGTTTGTGGAGGGAAAGCCCAGGCCTGGGAGCAAAACACAGCTGGGTCTAAGCCCTGGTGCCACCACTGTGTGGCTTTGGGTAGGTTACGGAACTTTGCTGTGGCTCAGAGGTGAGCTGCTCCAGGCCACAAAGGCCCAGGCCCACATCCTCCTTTCTCTGTGAAGCTCCAATACCTTCGCATGTTCCGAGGGGAGACTGGCATTAACGCATCTGCTAGCCGCCTCCTACTGTGCTCACGTGGGAGAGTGGTGAAGCCCACACATGGATATGTAGGCAACAGGGAGAAGGCCAGCCTTGGGCTGACTCACGCAGAAAGCAGTTTCGGAAATGAAACAACCTGAGGTGGTACAGGGCCTGTGGTCGGACCTCCCCAGTGTAGGTGAGGAAGGCACAGCAGATGTCACGTGGAGTTGGCTTGAGGTCAGACGCTTTGCAGACCCAACCACATCTACTCCTCAAAACCTCACACAGACACTTTGGGAGGCCGAGGTAGGTGGATCACCTGAGGTCAGGAGTTCAAGACCAGTCTGGCCAACATGATGAAACCCCGTCCTTACTAAAAATACAAAAAAAAAAAAAAAAAAAAAAAATTAGCTGGGGGTAGTGGCGGGCACCTATAATCCCATCTACTTGTGAGGCTGAGGCATGAGAATCACTTGAATCCAGGAGGCGGAGGTTGCTGTGAGCCAAGATCATGCCACTGCACTTCAGCCTGGGTGACATGAGCGAAACTCAGTCTCCAAAAAAAGAAAAAAAGTCTCATATGGGCAGCGTGATTATCCCCATTCTACAGATGAGCAAACAGGAGCTTCAGGCCTCAGGTACCTTCTGCAGGCACAGATCAGTCAGCCCCTGAAACAAGCTTGCATGGCAGTGAAGGGACTGTGAAGCCACAGAGCTGCACTGTCTCACACATTTGCAGGCAGTCCAGTATTCACCAGCACTGCTTGTCCCGGGCGATGGGGTAGGGACAGAGACATAACAACTTCAGGCCTCCCTCCCACTCCATGCAGACAGCCTTATGCCACAGCCTGGGTGGGGATTGTTTAGCTCAGTCTGAAGCTCCCCTTCATGAGACCTCACCAGGAGATGCCATGGACCACAGACCCACATTTAGCTCTCTCTGCGTGCTAGGCACACAGCTAGCCTGGCTGAAGCTGGACGGACGTGAAGAAGTGAGAGGTGCACAGAGGCAGAGCCACCCAAGGAAAGCATTTCCTGTGCACCATGGACCCCTCGGCCTTCTGCAGGGAAGGTAACTGAGGCAGGGATAGAGCCCTGCCTCTAAGGCCACAGGGCATGGGAGACAGGTCCAGATGGAATCCAGATGGAAGCCCCCTGCTCCAGTCTCACCCCAAGGACTCACCTGCTGCACCGTGGCCTCAGAGAAGTGCTGACTGGGAGGCAAATATGGAAGGTGAGCCCCTGGGGAAGAGCTCCTGCTCATATGATGAGGAAGATCCACCAGGTGCTGGCATTCTGCCCTGGGCTGGGCTGGGGGAGTCGGGGAGGCCTGGGGGCCACTTCTGGGCCTTTTACCCTCCACTGCCCAGTGAGCTTAGGCAAGTCACGTCACCGCTCCTCACCTCTGAACCAAGGAGGTAACGAATGCCTGCCTCTACGGCTACCAGGAATGCCAGCTGGGAAATGCCAATCCTCCCGGCATACAGCAGGCACAAAGTAAACACAGGTTTTCCTTCCACCACAGCTAGCCGCTGCCAAAATGCCCTGCAAGAGCGCTCCAGCGATCTCTCTAGAGCCCTCACATTCAAATGGGAGATGATGACTTTGCCTCACAGTCCAATATTCACCAGCACTGCCTGTCCTGGGCGAGGGGGTAGGAACAGAGACATAACAACTTTGGGCCTCCCTCCCACTCCATGCAGACGCCCTTCCGCAACAGCCTGGGTGGGGATTGTTTAGCTCCGTCTGAAGCTCCCCTTCATGAGACCTCATGAGGAGATGGCAGGCACCACAGACCCACATTTTGATTTTTGCTTTGGCATATGCTGGCAGTGTTCTTTGGGTAAGTTACTTCTCTTAACAGCAACACAGGGTATCACTCAGCTTGCAGGTGGTGCATAGTAAGCCTGGCACACAGCACCCGCCTCAGCCCACCACAGCCACTGAATTTTCCAAAGCTAAAATGTGCCTCATCCTAAGCCCCACCCCCCCATTCATCCTAGCCTACTTCCTTTCCCACAAAACAACCTCATGGCTCAGACCTTCTCTTTGAGTCAAACCCCTCTTCCTGTGCCACAGGGCTCCTGAGTGTCAGGTCACTGTCCTGCAGGCCCAGGCACCTGTTGCTGACCCTCTCAGAGCGCACATCCTTGGCCTGGGCCCAGCCTGCTGTGGGCTTCAGGAGACACTCAGAGCCTGTGCTCAAGATGCCATACTGCCTGGAACAGCCTGGCCCTGGTGAATTTGGATAGCACTTGGGTTTGATTGCAAGCTCACTTTGAACATGTGGTCAACTTGATTTGTCACAGGAAGTACCCACAGGCCAAGAAGTGGCGGTGATTACCCCGCTGCAGCTTCCTCTATTGTTTCTCAGAATGACTCAGAGAAATTCCCCGTCCTGTCCTGTCTTGACCCGCCTACCCACCTCATCTAATCTGCCTGAGCAGACCTACAAGGACGGATGTCCTCACAACCGCAGCTCCCTTGGCACTCAAAGGTCTCTGGTCCACAACTTGGAGTACTGAGCCGACTTCCTGTGTTCACAAAGCTGCTCATCCACCAGGCCTTTCCAAGGCTGCTGGAGTGGAAACAGACTCCCTCTTCTGGGAAGGGCAGGGTACTCTGTTGGACTCTCAGCCAATCACCAGGTCAGGGCTTCTAGAAGGATCTGGCACTACCAACGTGCATACTGAGAACCCACCAAGTACCAGAGGGTTCTGAGACAAGTGCGGCTTGCTCCCTGGCCTCGGGGAGCTCTGAGATGATGGCATCATGATTATAAAGGGACACAGCCAGTCATCCCAGGTGCTATGGGGCACAGGTTATGTGTGAAAGGATAGCCTGGCAGAAACCATGGGTCAGACTGACTTTCTGGGAGCCAATACCTGAACTGAGGTTTAATCATTTTTATCTACACTAAACAATGTTTCTGAAAAATACTTACATATGGTTTTAAAAAACAAAAGTGGAATGCATGGAGGTTGTGCGGTGAACAGTGAGCCTCTGGGCTGGCCTGGACTCAGCCTGTCCCTACTCCTCTGTGTACCCCGTCCCATGGGCGAGGTGCTGTGCGTGCATGGGCACATGTGTGAGTAAGCACACACGTGTGCCCCACTTGTTCCTGACACTCACTGGATAGAAGCAGACACAATGTGCCACACCTCATCTTTCCGCTGATCCTCAGAGACCTCACCCACTCTTCCGGCTGACCAGCACTCAGTAGTAGGGATGAATACTCTGTAGTGTCATCCCTTGAGTATCACTCACGAGGCTCCCCATCCTTGTACAGAGGTCGTTCCTAGTCTTCTACTACTATAAACAACGCTAAGAGGAATATCTTGGTATCTAGAACCTTGTGCATATCTGCAGGGAACATTCTAGAAGTCAAATTCTTGGGTCAAAGGGTGTTTCCATTTTAATGAATTTTAAAGGATGAGCAGAAATGAGCCAAATGAGAGGGAGGTCTCCTGAACACAGGCAGTAGTGCGAGGAGCCTGGGGGCTGCCGCAGGGCTGTGCATGGGGCAAGAGATGCCACTACTGTTGCAGAGGCATGGGGCAACATCCGGGAGGAGACGTGGATGATGCCAGCTGCAGGCTCAAAAGCTTGGACTGTATCCCATGGGCAATGAGGGTGGAGAAGGCTTTCCTTTTTCAGCAAGGGAGTGGCAGGGAATATTTGCGTGGTTTTGTTTTGAGGCAGGGCCTCACTCCTGGCTGGAGTGCAGTGGTGTGATTGCAGCTCACGCTAAGCTCGACCTCCAGACTCAAGCCATCCTTTCACCTCAGAGCCACCCGAGTAGCTGAGACCACAGGCATGTGCCACACTGCCCAGCTAATTTTTCTATTTTTTTGTAGAGAGGGGGTTTAGCCGTGTTGGCCAGGCTGATCTCGAACTCCTGGGCTCAAGCGATCCACCTGCCTTGGCCTCCCAATTTGTTGGGATTACAGGTATGAGCCACCATGCCCAGCTGATTTTTTGTTTGTTTGTTTTTATTTTTTGTCTGTTTGTTTGCTTGTTTTGAGACGGAGTTTCGCTCTTGTTGCCCAGGCTGGAGTGCAATGGTGCGATGTCGGCTCACTGCAACCTCCGCCTCCTGTGTTCAAGCAATTCTCCTGCCTCAGCCTCCCGAGCAGCTAGGACTATAGGCACTCGCCACCATACCCAGCTAATTTTTGTA